CAAAATGCTACACAGTTTCTCACTTCAGCAAGACGTTTCTCCTTTACTGCAAATATAGATTCACAGTATTGTGTCTTGTTTTGTTTTGTCATGCAGCCTAAACAGAGGTATACTTGACGACTGCGGGAAAAAAAGAAATGTGCTATGATTTGTAGGATTCCTTCTACCACCGCCCACTTTACACGCAGGCTAAATTTGTTCCTGCTTAGGTTGTTTAGCCACACCTACAGCAGCCAGCGCAAAGACTTTATCTCCAAATAGCATACATTTCCAGGCAGGTTACATGTCTTAACTGGCAGGACATGGTTTTACCTCTTCTGTTGTTTTTTCTATCCACTGGAGAGTGCGAGGGAACCCATAATTTTGAGTGTTCATATGAAATGCAATAAAAGTACTAAAAATGGATCTCCTTTTTTCAAAAAAAGAATTACTTTGTTTGAATTATTATAGCATAGGTTTGAAAATATGTATTCATTAATTTAAAAGTTAAAATATTATGAGATGTACAGGATTTAAAACTTTACAGTTCCAAATCACACAGTGCAAAGACTGTAAACATCTGGTTGGGATTCATAGTGTGAGGTGTTTTTCCTGCATAGGTTTGCACACATGTCTTTATGTACACATGTTTATTGAGTACATGATTATTGTGTTTTTTGCACTGCATACATTATACTGTAGTTTTAAAAGCTAACTTTGAGTACTGTTTATTTGCTGTGTACATCAATTTTATGTCATTTTGTACCATTTTCTTTTTGTAGTTCCTTTTCATAGAGATTGCATCTGAGAAGTTCCTTTTTTTATTGTTTTAATCTTCATAAATCTATTGCTATGCTTTTTTGGTGTCGTTTTTTTCATCCATTGTTCATCCAGTTTCCTCCTTTTATCCAGTTCAGGGTCACAGGGAGGGGACTGGAGTCGGTCTCAGCTATGACAGGGTGAAAGGCAGGTGCACTTGTCATGGCCCTGGCCATAATGTGTCTTGGTGGCTGTTTCTTGTTCTGTGTCTTTAAGTCTCTGCAGGTCCCTGATTGGATTAGCTGATGGCTGCTAATTGGTCCCCTATTCATGTGGTTGCTTTCAAAATCCCTCAACAGCAGTTGTCCCAGGGCAGCAACTGACAGCAGCAGACCTGACCCTGGCCTCAAAACTCTGTGATATTTGTGATTCTCGTGACCTATCGAGCTTGTATATAGTGTGTAAATCAGCCTTCTCTTGTAAATAGTCACTGAAGCCGAAGGGGTGAGCTGCCTTGTTGTTTTCTGTATTGTTTCCTCCTGTTTATTCAGTTAGGGAGTTAGGTGTGGCATTTGTGTTTTGTTTGTTCTTTTCATCACGTAGGGTTTAGGTAGCACCTCCTTTACTGATTAAGCTGGTTTTGTTTGTTATGTTGGCCTTTGTTCACCCCGGAGTCACGCTTCAGTTTAAACAATAAACCACTGTTCACTAAGAAATCGTTTCTCCTCTGTGTATGGTTTTGGGGACCAGGGCGGGGTCAATCTTTTCAACTCTTATGTTACGTTCCTGTACCCTTAGATTGGGGCGTAACAGCACCCTGGAGAGGTCACCAATCTGTCACAGGATAAACATACAGAGTTAGACAGCTATCTCACATTCATACCCAGAGACCATAAGCCTAACTTCATGCATGCACCTTTTTTTCTGACCATGAAATGATCAGAAATAATGTAATAAAGTTATTGTATTGTATGTATTGTGTACAAATTACTTATCTGAGAGCTAGTGTACAATAGAGTTATTTTACTGCATATTTACTTTTTTAATTGATAGCTGAAAGTATACTCACACTAAAAAAAACTAAGTAATGAAGTTCATCTCATCGACTTTATCTACAACAAAGTTTTATGAAGAAAATCCATTATAGTCAGTTTAGGAGAGGAAAAAAAGCATCAAAACAGATAAATGGATAAATGGCAAAATAGATAAGACAGTATCTAGACCTTCATCACTTCACCAGTGAAATAGGCTATTTAGAATACAGAACATGATCAGTTTGCGCAAGTACAGGGATTTTTTCTGGGCACACAAATCCCTGTGAATTTAAATAGGAAAAAAGGGGGCAACGCCTTCAAGTTATAGTATCTTAAAGTATAATTCATGAGAAGTACTTTTTTGCTATGGATAGATATTCTGTGATTAGTAAATCTGAAATCTGTAAAACGAGTTAGCTAAATGGGGTAAAAAAAGAAGAAGAAGAAGAAGAAGAAGAAGAAGAAGAAGAAGAAGAAAAAGTACCTTTCAAAAAATTCCAGATTTAGTTTTGTTAATGTTAATCTGTTCATATTCCTCAGAAATTTACAGGACAGTGGTGACATTTTTAAAATGGGAACAAAGCAGGACACTGAAAGGGAATCTGTACTGGAATTTCCAAAAACCGCAGTGCTGTGACGTGGTGACGTCGCATTGATTTTTGGCTGCTTACGGTACCTGTACCGTAATTGCAAGAGTATAGCGCAACAGAATGTAACACCTGCTGCTGTTTCATTCGATTTGGCGAAGAAGCAGCTCGCGTTGGTCATAGATATTTTAAAAACGTTACATATAAATATTTTACATCTATATATAAGAGAAAAGCAGCCTTTTAAGACAAACAATGTTCAACAGCAGCTGCATTGGGGAAAGCCCGCTCACGAAACTCTTATAGGGAAATCCCTGGTGGTGTTGTGGTGGGTTTAAGAAACTATCACAGAGTAGGTGTGGTCAAAAACGAACAAAACAACAAAAGTCATTGTACTTTCCACTTTTGTTAGATAAATATAAAGTGCTTAAAGTCCATTAATAATCATTATTATTTCCTTACAATAATAATCTCATCATTTCAAAATACTGCATGACTACTATGAGTAAAACAGTACCATACATGTGGCTTATATGTATATATAACATAACACATGCATCATATGTATAACATATAAAGAGTGTTTGAGCTTCAACGTGCCGATTATTAATATTCAGAATGTGATAGAAGTCTGTTTTTGTATTCACCTGGAGTGGAAAGTGTCCTGGAAATCACCGAAAATCTGAGGTGCTCATCTGAAAGTACTGTTATTACGTTGTGTGAGACAGTTGTAAGGACATTGCACATGCCAACATCAGGACAGGAAGTCATATATGAGACATCAATACTTCTTTTTTTTTAAATTATTGCATTTTTGAAAGATTTATAGAATACAGATCTTTCAATAAAAATGTACATGTTTTTTTTTTCCACTTTGTGCTACCTAAAATAAAGCTTTAATAAAGACTGGTGGAGTGGTGTTCCTATAACAACCTGGACCTTAACATCTCAAAAAAAGAAAGAAAGAAAAGATGGTAATTCACTTCAAAATATCAAGGTGTGTCTGCTATCTGTAAACATGGTGGGCAAATTGAGAGATTTAAGTGCAACATGTTTCTCGCATCACACCTCTGATATCACCTTATCAAAAAAACATCTCCCATTAGGTAAAAAAAAAGGCCGAGCAGAAACTCTTCTTCCTGGGAATTCTCAAACAGGACCACCTCCCTGCAACAACTGATAATTAGTAGCCATCATCACAGTGGTTGTAGAGCAGAAACCTGGAATGATCTGCAGAGGGTAGTAAAAGCAGACGAGTGTGTCATCTACCACTTCTGATTGACCAAACCTTGGCACCGCACTGAGAGCCAGGGCAGGAATGCAACCCACCCTAAATGCTGGAAGATTCAAAGCTATAAAATGCAGACCAAAACAAACTAAAAGCAACTGCTTTAACCCAAAATGTATCACCCCCTGCAAATGACTCGGTGATTGCAATATGACTGAGCTTGACTGGTGCATTATTTGTCTATTAGCACTGCTTTTAAGGAGAGTTATACACAGGTAATACACAAATGAAAAGGTAATGGTAACACCTGTACGTCTGTGAATAGATCCCAGCCACATGAATCCTAGACATGAGTTTTTGGGGATTGTACAGATCCTGTTACAAATGGCTGTACATACACAGAAAAGCTGATGCCAAAAACAGCCAGCTGCTGCATAATAGAACAGTACTTTCTGCTTCATGAGCCTCAAGAATAAGAAACAGTTCTTCTAACAGTTAGGCTGTAAAAAAGAAATCAAAAACTGGAAATAAAGTTGCAGCCACTTTGTTGTAATTTAAAAGGGAAATTTGTTACAGTCTATATATGATATATAGACAGGCAAAGGTAAAGACCCTACAGAGAAACCCCCAACAATTAGATGATCCCTTTTAACAGGAAAAACATCATTTTAACAGGGAAAAAAAATCCCCCCAAAACAAAACCAAATCTGGCTCAAGCAGGGACTGCCATGTGCTGCAACGGGTGAAGGGAAAGACAGAGAGAACAGATGCAAAGTGTGGGAGAGAGAAGACAAAATTCAAAGCAGTATTGGTATATAAATACATAACTGGAGAAGAAATGCTCAGAAGTCTCATGGCAATCTGAGTCTAAAGCAGCATCACCAAAAATCCAAATATCATAAAATGCACTGCTGTTCTTGGTGGGGATTAGCACACAGCTGTGAACAATGTTTAAATGCCAGAAGTAGCAAGCTTTTAAATTAATAAAGATTGCTACAAACCTCTACATGCAAAGATGGGTGACTTTCCAATACACTGTGCTTTTTAACTTCTTTCCGTTATTTCTAAGGGGTTTGGTGAGGCGTGATCTTCAAATGGGTGCTATGATTTCACTGGGTCGGACCTACTTTTACTTTCAGAACTGCCTTAGTTCGTCCTCAGACATACTTAATACTACTACTGGAGTAAAGCAGCAGAGTAGCTCTTCTTACTCCATCAGAAAAAGACCCACTCTTTATTTGTGCAAACAATGTGCCAGTCAAGCGTGCTTCCTATTGTGTGAAACAACGCTTTGTCGCAGAGGAATTCTATTTAAAGAGGATTTAGCACTACTTCTGGGTATTTTAGAAAATAGCTGAAGAGGAGTACAAGCTTCACGTGCTTTTACAGGAAACGGTCAAGGAAAAGCACCGCGCGTAGCTCCTCCCACACCGTATAAACAGAACACGTCGCCTAAATAAGTTCACAGACAGACTGTGAACACTTACAGAGGTGTGCGCTGTTGTACTCGACGCTATTCAAAATGGATTTTAAGTTTATAGCGCTGCTTATACTGATCGGGTCTTTCATGGTGAGTACACCGATTAATGCTATGTTTTTGTTTTTACAGGGATCGGTTTTGACCTGCGACAACTTAAAGTAGCACGATTTCAGATTATTTCTTCTTAACGTGTTATTATACGCTATAATGTGTGCTAATTATCGTATCCATCTGTTACTTTACTGTGTTATATTATTGTCAAAATCCTGCTTTTTCCCTGTAAAGTCAAAACCTAATGCTAGAGTTACGTTTCATGAGGTGCTTTCACTTTCGATTTCCCGGCAGTGGAGGGTTTGGACAAAGACGTGACCTTGTGTGAATCCCGATTTGCAAATATTTGTTAGTAACGTTACGAACAGCGGTGCACCTGGCTGCGTGCATTTAAAGCAGTTAACAGTTGGCTGAATCTTTGGGGCTTTCCACCACGCCCCTCGCAGTCTACCCTGAGGAAGTGAATCTAACATTATCAACATAGAGAAACTCAACCGATACTCGAGATCACACAAGGGCTAACTACCTCTTATTTAAATGTAATGCTTTTATTTTGCAGGGAATGACTGTTGCTCAGGCCAGCTGTGACCCAGAAACACAGTATGAAAAGGACGGTCAGTGCTGTCTCATGTGTAAGCCAGGTACGAAAACACTTTTCCTATGAAGGAAATTAAAATAAAACATCTGCTTTCTTGTTATTTATAACATATTGTCACCAAATTGAACTTGACAGATACATAAACAACAAATACAAGATTAAGAGCCATATCGAAGGCATAACTGCACTAATAGCATCCAATCTTTCTTTTTTCAAGTAATAAACATTTAAAGCAGCATGTATAAGAAAAAACCTAGCAGCAGGAAGCATGTGGTAGACAACTGTCTTTTTCAGACAGCATGATCACTGTTACTAAAGCTTTGCTTTTGCTTTCATTTTGGCTGCTTTTACACAAGCATTTCAGCTCTGAAAATGTTCCTCAGGACCTGTGTGTCAAAAGGCTAACATGCACATCAAACATTTCAAAAGATATACATATTATAGCCAAATGTGCATTTCCAACAAGCTAGTTGTTGCCTTTAGTCATGCCTCACTCATGGTCTGTACTAGCAGCACCCTCACCTAAAACAAACTGAATATTTGCACCAAGTGAGAATTCATCTTTCCTGTCTTGTGCTATGTGTCCGTCTAAAAAGAAGGCGAAACTGAAACAGTTGATTTCTTACACTGGAGGCAGACATTTTGACAAAAGACCCTTTCATTCATTTTTTGAGGAGAATTACTTTAGGTTGAGATTTCCAAACGACAGTAATTACTCTTCTTTAATTTATTATCAGTGTGAGTGGAATGTCTTCCAGCTTTATGGACTTTTGGTGGAACACAAAAGACATTTTAAGATGACGGCAGAGACACTGAGAAGTTGCGATCCTGCTATTTTAACATCTCAGAATAGAGTAGCTTATAGAAAAAACAACCTAGTAATTGCTACTGGGAAAAGGGGCCCTCGTAATCCCAAAGACAATGTGAAGCATGTAAACAAACCAAATCTAACGTGTTGATTAAAAGGTGTTAGGGTTTGTTAGAACCAGATAAGCCAACCATCACCTAGTTGACTTAACTTTGTCATATTTCCCTAAAAGGTCCATTGATTACCTAAACTCAGAAATCCCAATTTACTAATTACTCAGGATAAATAAAATACTTGCAAATAATATACTTGATTCTAACTCTGCATATCTTGTTTTGCAGGGACTAGCATGTCTACAGAAGATTGTAAGAATCCTCAATGTCAACCTTGTCTGGATAATCACTACCAGGATAAATACACAACGAAAAACAAGTGTCTGCAGCAGCCTTACTGTGATAGAAGTAAGAAATTGTGACAAATTACCTCAAACTGTTCCGATATAGTGTGTCTGTGTATACTTGGACAGAGAGAGGCTTCTCTTACAGCGTAAACCTTTTTTGTCATTTAGATAAAAACTTTGAGGCTCAAGTCCCAAAAAGCAAGACGGAGCGATCCATCTGCAAGTGTAAAGTGGGATTCCACTGCTCCAGTGAAGAATGTATTACCTGTGTGGAACACACAGTCTGTCAACCAGGATATGGAGCTAAAGTCATAGGTACCAACATCCTTGTGACTGAACATTTGTTTAATTAGTTTTAAGTTTTTTATTATGCGAATGAGTCTCATTTTTTGAAAATGATTTTTGATATTCAGGCAACAACTCACAGGACACCGAGTGTGAAAAATGTCCAGACGGGACATTTAACAATAATGCGTCGTGGTATGCTCAGTGCCGCAAATGGACAGAGTAAGTACACATTTACATTAACATGTGAACTTAGAGATGATCTTTATTTAAAAAAAAACTTGGAAAAGGGCCTTTGTTCACCTTTTGAATTTAGTTATGTGTTTCAAGAATATTTTTCCTTCTTCCTGTGAATATGCCAACAAATAGTCCCGCAGAATATCCACCATAGGTCAAGGTCAAGTTTATTTATATAGCACATTTCCAAACAGACAATGCTGCACAAAGTGCTTAACAATGTAGAATACCACTAAAACAAATAAAATGCAAATCAATAACGATGCAGTAAAATATAGAAAAAACAAAAGAAGTAGATGAGATAAGTCAATAAAAACAACTAAGGCTGTTAAAACCAAAATGTTTAGGTCAAAGTGTGTTAAAAGCCAGACCATGAAAAATGTGTCTTTAGTAACGATTGTGTTTGTGCTGATCTAATATTAAGAGTCAGACTATTCCACAGAGAAGGCTGTCGCCACGAGACTTAGTCCGTGGAATAGTTACGGTTAGTTTCGACCTGGACCTCACGGTTCTTTCTGGAGCATAAATAGGAGCTCAGACAGAAAAGAAGGGGCTCGGCCGTTAAGTGACTTAAAAAAAAAAAGTAAGAGTTTAAATTTTGTATGGAACAGGGAACCAGGCTAAATCTGGGGTTATATGCTCCTTCCGCAAAGTTACTGTACTAACAACAATTTATACACCTTAATTTTTTATCATGAATTTAAAAAGCTGATGTGAGCTGTTTGGCCACAAAATCTGGAATTTTGTACAGGAATTTCTTCTCAAAAACAGGGATCAGGTGGTTGTTTCAGTTCTTCTGAAGAGCCGTGCCATAGATTATATTTTTCCTGACAATGATAGAAAATGCTGCTTGTAATTGACACCCGGAGACCATTGTTTATTCACTATTGATGTAGGAAGACCTTGTAGAGCTGTGTTTGTCTAAATCTGTCAACATGAAAAAATAAAGCGAATCTGAGGCATTGTATTGATTTGCTTCTTAAGTTTGTGTAACTTTAGCAGTGATAAATTAAAGGTGTGAGTCTGACTGAAAAGGAGATTCTGTAAATGAAGAAAATGGTGTTTCTAGCTGATGGGATTTTTTTACTGTGTTTCATGACACAACCAGTTGGTTAAACCAAAATATGACCTCTGGCGTACTTACCTTTCATTGGGCCCAAATACAGTAACTTACATAAGCTTTAATCTTTGCGTAGGGGCAACAAATCAAATGAAAATAGTGGTATTCAAAGTGGAAATACAAACCAATAACGAATTATTGAAAAACAAATGCAACACTGAGGCAGGAATTCTGCTCTAATACTGTGAAATTCATTGCAGATGTGAAAAGGGATATCAAGTTAAAGAAAAGGGAACGCACACCACCGACAACACATGTGGTAAGTTGTATGTAGGAAGATGAATTGCAAAGGTTTCTCACCTTTCTCGCTGCTGCCGTGTGCAGCTGTGTGGTTGGATGCGGTGCATTGTTCAAAACGAAACTATGTCAACTGTGAGAAGGTTTGTCTCATAAATCTTAGTTGGTCTGTGGTTTTCAGTGTGGCTTTGTCAGCTTTCACTTACTATGTATCGACGTGTAGACTCCACAGTCTCCTAATTTACTGCTAATGTTAGAATTACAACTGAATTAATGATTTATTTTCAGTTTTCCTCAACGCTTCTGAATTTATGCTTCCTCTGTTTAATGTGACTACGTGTTTGACATGAAAGTCTCTTTTGTTTTACATTTTGTCTGCACAAATACCCATGTTCTAGACAGTATCAGAGAACTCGATGTATGTTTAACTGTGTTTTTATTTCTTTTTCTCTTCCAGCAGGGACACAGCGGAGTCACATAATCGCCATCTCTATTTTAGCTCCAGTTGTTTTGGTCTTTGTTATCGTGATTTTAGTATATCGAGGTAAGCTGTGCTCTAAAGCTCTAAACAAATAAATAATAATAATCTTCCTATGTACTTATATTCTGTGTTTCTTCTTTTTTATGAATCGGTAAAGCAGAATGCATAAAACAAAGGACAAAGGTAAATATGACTTTTTAAAATGTATTTATTTGTTGTTTCATAGATGCTTTTTAATGACAGTAAAAAGATACCCATATATATATATATACACACACATGTAAATTTTGTATTGTTCGATACATATGCGTACCGAACCGAAAGCACTGTATCGAACAGTTCAATATTGTGTGTGTGTGTGTTTGTATATATTTGAAATTATGGAATTTAGAATCAATTAGTGTCTTTTGACCAGGTAATCAATTTCTAAAACTATTTCAGATATGTTACTTTAGCACTCCAGTGTACATCTGTAAACTAAAGATGATATCTTAGATTCTGAAAGATTAGCTTAGTTTAGCATAAAGCCTAGAAACAGCTAGGCTTTATGCTAAGCTAAGCAACAGCTAATGAATCCAATCATAAGAGGTGCACCTACAAGGATCTGTTAAAAATTTAATAATTTCATACATTAAAGAATTAAACTATAAATATTTGTTTGGTTTTTTTTTTAGGCTTTTCACAATGTAAGACTGCTTGTTGCTAATCTTTAATGCTGACCAGAAAAATATAGCAGCAATCAACACGTTTTTTTTTTTGTTGTTTTTTTATGTACACATGTGAAAGCGATATGTGGATTTTAACTTTGAGCAAGAAAGAAATGAAACAGTTGCACAAAATGAAAGCCTGTTCTTTTAAATGAGTGCTGAGGTTTGTCCTCAAGTTTAATCAGCTTGGGTCATTTTGTGCGGTCCCTTTTAATAGGTTTGCAGTGGATTTATATACACATCCTGCTGATTGTGTGACATGTCTGTATTTCTGATGTACCTTAAATCCTGTTTCACACCTTTAGACACTGTTTCAGAGAAATGCACTGCATAATTCAACACAGGAACTATAGCATAAAGTTGTACATGCTTTGCTGTGAGAGGAAAAAATGTGCAAAGCACCAGAACTGTTGACTTGATCAAAATGATTTTATCGTTATTATAATGTTTGTTATTTCTTTAACTCTGACAGAGCTATTTGGAACCACAGATGTGTGAAGAAGACATAACAGCCCATAAAGAAACAACGTATAATAATCAAATGACACCAGAGGAAAATGAGGATGAACTAAGCCATGAGCTCTCCTCAGAAGGATTCACAGATAAAGGGAACCAGGTGATGCAAGAGAGAGGCAAAGAAGAAATCGTGTCTCGTCAGGAGTCTCAGCTGGAGTCTCAGTTTGAGTCTCAAGAAGATAGTCAGTCAATGGATCAATTTTACAAGCAAGTTTAAAAAACGACACAGATTGTCCAAAGTGCTGCGCAAAGTTAAAAAATAATTACCTGATCTGAATAAGAATCAATGAATTAGTCTCCTTACTAATTCATTTTGAATGTTTACATGAAGTTACAATCATTTCATTTGCACTAAATTGTAAAAACCTAAACACACACACACTATATATACGTGGTGTAGACGTTATCATCCGGCAAACAAAACGTCCCTGGTTTGTTTCCAGCTAGGAAGGACATGCGATTTAAAACTCCACCAAATGAAGCGCCCAGTGCGACCCCTAGTGGCAAGTGAACAGCCGAAAGTAGCTAGCTATAAGTCTGAATGTTAACAATAAAATGTAAAGTAAGATGTATTATAAAGTGTAAAGAGAGTGTGGGGTAGTGTGTGTGTGATTTACCTGCATTAGTTTTGAGGTTGGTTGCAATTTTTAAGTTATGCATTGTTTATTTTTTGTTTTGTTTTTGTTTGTGTGTGTGTGTGTGTGTGTGTGTGTGTG